AATTAAAAGCAATGTCATCGTCGTTGATCGGCTCCTGACGGATATGCATATGCATTTGACTGTATCGCAACATACAAGTGACTAAATGCGTATCTGGCCAGCACAATAACTTGACGTAGCCTGCCAATCTATTAAGCCACTAATTCCATCCACCAACACAGGTCTGCTAAATATTAGCCCGTGCCGGAGAAAAGGCTGATGAGGGTGAAAGGATTCGTGACCTGGGGCACCCGAAAGGAGCAGAAAACGTTCAGTGTGCATTGCAAGCCACCTCTACTCACTTCTATTCACAAGTCATTGAAAAACCGCTATGTTTACATTACTACTGCGTATTCTCAAAGACTGTACTTCTCAGCATTCTTCGCGGAGAAACAGTAGCATTAGAAATATCATAAAAATTGTGATGCTCGCTGTGTCATTCAAACGAATAGATCCGATCGTATATAAGCATAGAGAGCTTCCTGAAGTGCCGCCAAATTGCATAGAATGTCTGACTCTTTAGAGTCGGCTCTTGAAGCTGTAAGTATAGACATACTTATAAAACTTTGAAGTAACTTTGTATATGTCAACTTGAGCATTCACAACATGTGTTTGAGAAGAAAAATTTGCTCCGCACATCATTTGTTAGATTTTTCTCAATTTTGTGTCAATTTTCCTTTGAATAATCCACATAGTTTCAACTATCAAACCTTTAATATAGATGGGCTGAGCCCGTATGTAACTCTGGTATATTATTTTTCCTTGATTAATCTGTACAGAACTGTAATCCAGAGCTAATATAGAAACATGTAGACGAATAGATAATGTTAATATAGGCAGTGATAGCTAATGGAAGGCGCTTTCAAACGTTTTCAACCAAGATGACAGCTTAGTAGCATAAAATCTACAGTGATTCTGCGGTTAATAATATCTTCAATTATTAAGCAAGCTTTTGTAATATGAAGATTTCTTGTGGCAATCTAATTTTGGCTCTTTGAAAGAATATTTTTTGACGATACGTAAATTCGCCTATCGATGTACGATGGCAAGCACAGCCCTCAGCAGCTTATGATGTTAGATCATTTATTGAAATGTGTGCTGTATTAGAACACCATCAAAACACATTTAATATTGCTTTTGAAGGGAATGGAAGCTGGCAAGAGTTTTCTGGATCACCCATACTGTTATCGATTGTTTCTCCTGGAACGAAGACCGCGTCTAAATACGGTACAGAGTTTTATGGCAGTACAGTTAGTAATCTTTTTCAGTCTAGAGGTTTGAGAAAGAGGAAAGTAGAAATAGAAATAGGAATTTCTGCTCTCATCCTAAGCGACGTGGTGAAATGAGTGGGCAGTTGAGGCATGAGTGGACGAGACGCACTGCGTGACGACAAGCTCCTCTGGAACTACCATGGAGAAAGTGAAAGGCACGAAAGTGAGATCGTCGTCGGAGACGAGAAGGCGAAATGGGGTCAGTGGCGCCGACCGACTCGCCTAAAACTGGTCGATCCAGATGCTTATCCCTCAGTGGCTGTCCAACGCACACGCTGTCGTTCTCATTTAGCCTGAGCGACGACGACGTTGACGAACATCGTGCACACGTTTCACTTTTGTCCAAGACGGGGACCAATTTTTTTCTGATAGCTGGCGGTGTTAACAATTCTATCAGAAAAAGGATTGTAGGAATGCAGGAAGAACTTCCTCCGTTTTCACTTTTATGGAGTCTGGGCTTCTGAACTCTTTCAAACCCTGAAACTGATTTTTTCTTTTTGAATATTGAGGGTTTCCTAAAGCAACAGATATATGTGACTATGTTGTGAACACCGATGGAAGCTATACGATAGTTGTAAGCAGGGTGATATCTCACTAGGTAAGAATCCTGTTTTGCCTAAGATTTCCTTGACCTCATTTAGATTTATAGCACTCAAGGTGGTTGTTTTCATTGTGAATGTGACGGATGTGTACAAATGTTCAAAGGTGTTCAGCAAAAGACGAGATAGATTCAAGCGTTTTTTGAAAAGGAATTTCCTGAGAATATGCAAAAAGTTTTTATTAGAACAGGAATACAAAAAGTTTTCTCTACATGGCTAAATGAAATAGTGAGTGGCCTTTACGATTGAAAAGGAAAGCAACTCAAATCCAATGGCGTCAGCTCGCTTTTGACCATATCGTAATGACTTCCAGCTTTGCTGTAACTCCGTTTAACACCATTGTAAATCTCTCGGGATCAAGTAAATAAACTAGAGATTTATTTATATCATTTATTAGACTTGTAAGTCGTCATGTAACTGAAGGAGCCATTGGCTTGCTTCTACTATTTGCCTTTGTCGCATGATAGGGCTACACAGTGGCTACTTTTCACTCGGGTCTGGTGACAACCTGTAGAACTCTATAAATTTTGCATTTTTAGGGAACTCTATCCATAATGAGTTACTTTTTACCAATTGCATTAGTCCTTTCAGGACCATATGGTATCACTGCCACGCGCAATGCAAATCGCAAACGGTGCGCGATTTTTATTGTTTTATTAGGGTTTGTCCACTGCTTCTGGAGTAAATCTAGAGTTTTTTGTAATATCTCGATATTTCACGAGCTCCTCCACATATTCATATGCTTTTGGTGCAAATATAACATTTGAGCTCAAAAAAAGCTCTCTTATTATACAATGGCGTGATGTTGGCAAGTGTAATAACTTAGTGCTGTAGATTTACCCACTGATGTTGAGTGATGTGCAAAACTTTTGCGTCAGGCGGTACTCTAACTCGCATCTCATTCTGTCCGATAACGCGCGGTCTAACCCGGTGCACTACTGACGCCCGTTTTGCCACTACTGTTTCTACGCTACAACGCATCTACCTAACAGCAACCATTCGACAACGGTTTGGCCGAGGTAGTCGAGATTGACATTGAACCCGGTCACGCCTACAGATTTTGCATATTGGACAATCAAATGGAATTCTTTCCACTTAACCGCTTCAAGCGGTTAAGTAAGAATAGTTCTATGTATTAACTTGTAAAAAGAAAATTATGATATCAATTTACCAGTGATATATTTTCTTATAAACAATACTTAAAAGTCAAATTAGTGGCTGAAAATAGGAAAACAATGATAGTAATAGTAGGTACTTTTCCCGTATCAGCATTCCTGTTCAACAAAACACATTTTCTATTATTTCTTGACTTTTCAGTAATTATTCGACAACATATAACTCGAGAATTTGAAGGGCATCTTTTATTTTCTGAATGGTTCTTATATTATGCTGTAATAGCGAAAGAAAATTTCTTTATTCACTCAAGCATCTTTCGCTGGACACAGTTATTCATTTAGACTTTCGATAATCATTCGATAGCACAAATCTCAGCGATTTCAATGATATGCTTGGTTTTTTGAAAAAACTTCTCAGTGCGCTGCTGCAGATAAAAGAATAATGAGTTTCGTTCGACATCGCGTCGATGGCGCACCGCAATTCACATGTGGTGATCGACACGGCGCCGAATGCGAAATCCAATATTCTTTTGAGTGCAACAACTCACGAAGAACTTCTTCTCAAAAACCAAGCATACCGTTAGATTTTCTGAAATCTATGATAACGAAAGGTCACTGGAAGTTTTGAATGAAAAGCTGTGTCCGCGAAAAGTGCTTAGATCTGCAGCACAATTTTATTTTCCACTGCTACAGAGCGCTAAGAAGTTTTCTTCTAAGAAGCAAACTCATCATTGGAATCCTGAAGATTTAAGCTGGCGACTTGTTATTGAAACTCAATGGCTTGATGATAATGTTGCGAAGTTCATCCTTATCTCAGTGCAAGGGTGTGTGCGCCAAATGTGAAATGCAATGTCAACTTCAATGTCGTACTCAAATAAAAGTTTTTTTGGAAAGCTGAAAACACTGTTAACTTTGTCGAAATTTGTGCTATCGAATAATCACTGAATTTATTGAGGAAAAGCTGTCCAGCGAAAAATGCTTGATTTTGAAATGAGAATCTATTTTCACTATTACTACGCAATAAAAAGACTTTCCAAATAGCCGTCCAAAGTTTTAAGATTTAGGCTATTGAGTTACTATAAAAATGTCTAAAAAGAACAAAAAATTCGTTTTTTCGAGTATGGGTTCGAATAGGAAAAAAGTACCACTTTGTTACAAAAGATGTTGCACAGTGCAAAAGTCTATGCAACGCGGGTGAATAATGACCGGTACTGATATCTAGGCTGAAGTACTAATGATAGATGCTTGTTGTGTAAATTATTTATTGCTAAATAAATGCTCTAAACAAAAAAACAGCAGCATCAGTGTAAGCTTTGAAAAATTTTGGCTGAGGAATATGCAATTTCTTCAAATATACGCTACAAATTGATGATCGTGGGCTCTATCAATAATTTTTCCAACTACATACTAAAAGTCACACCACATGAGTTCTTAAAAAAGTCATAGACTAAAGAAAATGTGTTTGTGAACTACACATTTACATATCGTCAAAAATATGAAGTATGGAATGGAGGTACTATGTGTTCTCATTGATGTGGCCTTCGTATTGAAAAGCGATAATTTTTTGAATACGTGGATGTTCCTTACACTAGAAAAACCCTTTCAAAAAGCTTTCAGTAATAAATCATTCTTTTTGATCCTAAACTGTCTTCATTGTAATGATTTTACTATACAGGCACCAATACACCCAGTGCGAAGTTCAAGCGACGGTCTAATTACTCAGAGTGTGAACGTGATTTTACCTCCTTTGCTACAGCGCATTAAATAATCAGTTCAGAAAACTAAGCTAACCCTAGGGGCTCGCACTTCGTGAGCTATCGATTGATTATCAAAACTCTACTGTAAAGTGAGCATGAGCGAATAGCGAAGCACGCAAAACACTTCGGAAGCGAAACGTATTTTCTGTTCGTCGTTACTACAGCGCAGTAAACAGCTGCGATTGACAATTAATCGGGAAATCAAGTTCATATTTAGAACTGCCATTTATCAAGTTGTCAAATTTTTACATAAATAAATTGAGTGGTCAGCAAAAATACAGCTTCACGCGGGGATCGAACCAGCGCCCCATACATACCAGGGACTCGTGTTACTACAACTACACCACAAATGCACACTTGCGCCACCACTCATTCTTCAACATCTCTATGCTAGCTAACAGCCACCAACCTTTAACAGATTTGGTGGAGTATGCGATTTCGTTCTATAAACCCAGTTAAGCTGACAGCCAGTGTTAGATGTAATACTCCGAAATTATAGTATTTTTGGCTATGGCTGTCAGCTCATGGGTTTATAAAGCGAAATCACATACCCGAGCAAACCTTTTAAAGGTTGGTGACTGATAGCTAACACAGATATATTGCAGATTAAGTGGTGGCGCACATGTGCCCTCGGTGGTATAGTGTTGGTAGCACACGTCACCGGTATGGATAAATCACCGCTCCGATTTCCGCCTGAGGCTGTATTTTTGCTCACCCATTTAATTCTCTCAGGTATATATGCAACATCACAACACTGCGAAAAAGCAGTAAAAATACTAGAATTTCGGAGTATCAAATTTTTACTAAAACTTTGGTGAAACACTTTGTCAAGCGAAAAAAAGCCAAGCAAATACAAGTAAACACTCCGAAGAAAAAAGCGTAATTTTCTCTTCGTTGCTACAGCTCACTAGCACAGCGTTTCAAAAAACCTAGTACACCATCAGCACCAAAATTTTTTCGGTTATCAAATGGCTGCTATAGTCTTATTAAAGGTCTGTGCTCGACGAGAAAACCACGAAAATGTGCGTGTACCATGAGTGGTGCACGTGGTCTGCTTTAGTGCCAGAACCTAAGGAAAAACCTAACGTAAGTATACCTTTATTTCGAGTGCTTTGTTTAGACCATGCTCAAATTTCAATATATCCTTTGATTATTATTTGAGCCAACTTGTCATGTGGTCTGGTAAGGGCTCTTGTACAGCCCGATACACGTGTTTCGTCCTTACAGACTCATCAGCCGGGCAGAACCCGTCGTCTGTCGATCTTTTTCATAGTCAGTTCTCTCGCGAGCCTTAGACTCCTTATAGAAAGTCATCGACGACGAACGCTTTACACTCTATGTCAAGCATAAGATATATTGAAATCTGAGCGTGGTCTAAACAAAGCATTCGAAATAAAGGTATAATTATGATAAAAGTACCAGCCAATGAGCAATCGAGTGCACAACACTCTGGGTTAGGTGAAGGTTTCACTTGACATAGAGTGTAAAGCGTTCGTCGTCGATGACTCTCTATATGGAGTGTAAGGCTCCCAAAAGAACTGACTATAAAAAGATCGAAAGACGACGGGTTCTGCCCGGCTGACGAGTCTGTAAGGACGAAACATGTGTATCGGGCAGTACAAGAGCCCTTACCAGACCACATGACAAGTTGGCTCAAATAATAATGAAAGGATACATTGAAACAACCTAACACTTCTCCTCCGCGCTTGGCAATATTTGTGGGAGATCATCTCTTGCTGAACGCCACAGTTTGGCATCTGGGAATTATCCTGATCACGATAGTGCAAGATACGCTTGAATAGTATTCGGAACAATTCACTTTCGTCAGTTAATCTAACTAGCGCTACTAAGTAATCTTGAACGTTGTGCGAATCATCGTTTTCTTAAAAATGTCTCAGTAGCTTTGTTCCAGATAACAAAAGGAAAAAATTTTCAATTCATAGAAAAGCTGAATTATTTTTGAAAGGAAGTTCGTACATCGAGTTGGAGTAGGGCTGGCTGACATAGCATTGAAGCCTTACGCTGCGACAAACTTGTAGGAAATCTCTCTGAACCTAAGAAATAAATGATAAACAAAATATTAGTAATTACATATCTTTCTATGCTTCGTTGAAGAGATAGTGGAAGTGTTGTTCATATACTAATACCGTAAAATCAATCCATTCCATATTTTATTTTTGAACTTTGAAGATGACCATACTAGTAGCCCCAATAGAAAATTTTAAAATTTTCAATATAGCCCTCCTAGGCTTTAATAGCCTATAACAGTGGTTTCACGGTTCGCATCAGATAATCTGAAAACTGATCATCATTTCCCTTAATACGTACTCCTGGATTGGGGTGGGAATCGGCTTGTTTGCTTTAGTGGCCTATCTTGGCCTCTATTTTGGGATCGATCGGTTCTTGGTATCGCGTATTAGTTGTGGCGCGCCATCCGTATCCGTGTGGATGCGTGGGCGTTCCTCGCTCTGTTTTCCCCCTGCGTTCCTTTTGAGGTATCATTGGAGATAACTATGATGCCTAATGCAAATTAAACGCCTATGTAAGTTGAGGTGCGCGAAAACACCATCAATCATATCACCTGTGGTGCCGGCTGATGCGCCCATCTATTAGGGTAAAAACATTCTTCTCGCCCCCTGCGTGACTCTCACCCCTGCTTCCCTACAACATGCTCGCCTATTTGCTTCCTGATATAGGGCTTAAAGAACACATGGGGGTGATATCCTTGTTGGGCCCCTATCGCTACATTTTAACGCTTAACTAATGATCATGTGATAGGTCTTAGAATGGTTAAGCTGCAGCTCTTAGTTAGTTAAGATATGCGACATGTGGTTCACGCATACGTGTATCTTTTACATGGTTCGTGAATCTTTCGGGGGACTCTTAAAAGGATGTTCAAACCTGGTATTACTTGTGAACGTACTGTGTTGAGCGGCCATTGGATCTAAGGTTTCTATGTTACTGACAGCGCTTTATGCGAACACTATCTTGTTTTGGCATATACTACTGTGCGTGGGGGGAGTTAGCTTGAAAATCTGTGCTACGTAAAAACGGACACAACTAACGCAATTTTGTATGGTCGGTGTGTATCACTTCTTAGTTTGATAACAGAATGTTTTGAAAGGGTTCTATTAGGGGGGGGGGGTAGGGGGGTTTGACTCGCTAGATCCTGATGGCGCGTGCGTGTGGGTCACCGTTTCAGTCCTCCATTACGTTTTTTCATATGTTCGCGGCTTTCTTTTCTTTGAGTGGAGGGTGGGGGGGTAGGGGTCACTATGTCTTCTAGGACCGGAGGTGGACGTCGCAAAGCACTTGCACGAACGCAGAGCGACGAAGACTTCGTTGTTTCTGGATCCGACGATAGCTACACATCTTCTCGTCGCAGCAAACGCAATAGAAAGGAAAAGTCAGGCAGACGAGCTCAGTGGTACGCTTATTTTATTGAGATCGCAACAAGAAAAAATTCCTTCTTCGGTTTTCCTTTGATTCAATGACTGTGGTAATATTTCTTCTTGATACAGTCGTATAGAAGACTGTGCTTTTTTGGAATTCATTCGATTTGAGTCCCATGACATCTCAGTCGTAATGTTCTCTATTTCAATACTATAACCCTTAGCGGACAGCAGCATAATCGATATTGTCCGTGACGCGCGATTTTTGTTCTTCAACAAAGATTTTTTTCTATGCCTCAGGGAATATTTCAAGTTCTTTGTGCCACTCTGGTCGATAATGATTTTCTCTACAATATGCATAATATTTGTATATATGATTCCTATATGTAAGAAAATTTTCCAATTATGAAACGTTATTTGATACTCGCTCTCACAGTGCGCTATGGAACCTTTTTGGAGAACCAATTTAATCTCAAACTCGCCGAGATTTGAGCCATCTATTAAACTTAGTGTTGTCCAGTAAAAAACGATTCACAGACTTTAGTTGAACACATAATCAAAGCAAGTGTGATAGATAATCTTAATTTTGTTGCTGCGGCATGCTGCACAGGTCTTTCAAAAACCAAACAAGGTATCAGAATTCCTGAGATTCATGCTTTCGAATGACTGATTACTCAAATTTTGAATAAAAAGCGTAGTTCAGCGACAAATGACCTCAAAAAGTTTAAAGGTTAAAATGATTTTCATCGTCCGCAAAGAGCTAATGTCTCGTAGATATTCTATTCATTGGTATGTTTTTTGTGCTAAACCGTCCATCTAAATTAGAATTTCCATATTGAACGACCTTCTTCGTTTCAAAGTCTTACAGAAAAGCAATTTACTTGGGGGGCATAAAGTATAGATCTTTTTAAACCAAATTTAGTAAAGATAAAATTAAATTACTTGTGCGGGATGTGCGTCAGGAATGACAACTAGTCATTTCTAGGCACTCCGATAGTGAATCGGAAGAGAAGTTCGAGGAGGACGACACATATTCTGATGACTCAAAAGGAAAATGAAGGTAAAAAGACAGCGTTGCGAAGTATCAAGTGACGAAACAAATGATGAGGATGAGGATGGCATAGATCTGAACGCAGTTGACGGCAGTGCCGATGGTCCGAAAACGCGCACCGGCAGGTTAGGCGGAGTTATTGATTTGTGCAAACTTTAACACTCTTGTTTCGAATAAGCTTCCATTATGAATGCGTGTGGCACAGTGGTCAGAGGTGCTCTTCGGTACAATCACGTGGTCGACCATTCAGTGTTAGTGTTTCGACCATTCAGTTGTTAGTGTTTCTATCCTGCGTTCAAGGCTCAGCAAACTTTTCGACCCTTCGACGTCGCTGAATTGGTACCAGATTTGCTTGGGAGAATAGCAGCACCGACTTGATACATAGCCAGACTACCACGAGTAATTCTAAAGACCAGGCATACATTTAGTCGCATCTAACGATAATCTATGGAGTCGATTGATTCATGGTGTATCCCTCGGGGACTGATCATCGTCGAGAGCTTCATCCTTTCTCTAAATTTCTATTTCTTGTCGTATAGATATTGTGTAAATCTAAAAAGCGAAATTTTGAACTTGTTTGTGTCCTTTTTGGGAACGTCGTGGATATTTTGAGTAATAGTACGGTATAACATATAGGCCGCTTCGTAAAGCCGTGGCGAAGTCAAAAGCAACACTTTTGGATGTTAGCGATGATGGTGTTGATGGGAATGAGGATTACGAAAACGGATTGAGCGACCCGGATAAACTAGCCAAGAAAGGAAGATTTGTGTAAGTAATGTCGAAGTGAATCTTTATAGAACCCTTCAGCATGTATTTTAGCGTAGATTCCGACTCTGACGTGTTCGAGCCTGACGAGGAAATGGATGACGACGATGATGATGATGAAGAAGGCGGTGCATCTTCTGATGCC